TTTTTAAATTTAGTTGGTTGTTTTACTTTTAGTTTGTTCTTTTAGTTAGCTAGATTAGTTTAGTTTAGTTTAATTGTGCTGTCTGGTTGCTTAGGCGGCTCTAGCCCCTTGGTTCCTGACCGAGGTGCACAGATTGGGCCCACCCAGTAGAGATACCACCTGCCTACCACAAATAATGAATAAATGTTGAGCAGTAAATAAAAGGTCTCACTCAGAAGTGCCTCCTGACCTCCTCAGATGTACATAGCCCTATATAAAAGTGTATAAGTTTAGCAATAAAAGTGTGAAACACTGTTAGACAACTTACACACAATTTTTTAATTATGTAATCAATAAACAGTTGATTCTACAAACTTACATTTTAATATTTTTTTGTTATTGATCTTAGATTTAGGTAGTTATGGTAGAAAAATTTGTCACTCAATTTGCAAACTATTGCCTTACACTAACAACAGAATAAAATATTTCTACTATATTATCAAAACAAGGATTTTCTATATGTCAGTAATATTATAAATGTCTTTGCTCCAGAATTGGTAAGCTGTTCAATGAATGAAACAATCTATATTTCAGTTATATAAAAATGTTTTTGATCCATACGTTGGTCACAGTCTTGCCTTTATAGGATTTGTTCAGCCAGCATCTGGAGGTATAATTACAATGTCTGAGATGCAAGCAAGATGGTTCTCTAAATTATGCAAAGGGGAAGTGAAACTACCTAACACAGATGAAATGTCAGCAGACATAGAAAATGAGAAGGTACTTCTCTTTTTTTTATATCATTTTTTTCCCCTAATAAATGTATGTGACACAAGATCTTAAAAAATATTTCTAAATCTTTCTCAAAAATGTTTTTTTATTAATTTTTTTTTTTTTTTTTTTTTACAAATTGAAAGTAACGGCATGTTTATATAAAAGAGTAGCAATTGTTTGAAAAAATCACTCTTTATTACATTTTCCTAATTTTTATATAGTCCAGATATAAATGAAATAGCCAACTAATCTTTTTATTGGAAAAGCCTCTGCAATCTTAAGCATAATAGAAATGTTTTTCTTAATTGCTTTATCTCTACTTTAATAATCTGTGAAATTAAAAGAATATTTATAAAGAATATGATTTTATGCCACCAAAGAACAATTTGTCACTCTACAGAAAATACAAAGTGGCAGATGGTATCAGACAGCAAGACATACATTGCAGAAGGACCCAATAGTGTATAATGATGAGATAGGGGAAATAATTGGTGCTAAGCCTAAATTGTTTCAAAATCCTCTTCTAACATGGAGGTAAGCAAACTTAAATATATATGACAGATATATTTTTTTGATTAACATGACTTTTTAAAAATCTTGTGCTGTCATCAATAGTAGAATTTTTAATTTTTTTTAAATTGAAGAATAAAGGAAGTAACAAACAATAGAAAAAAATAATACTTTTTAAAAAAACAAAGCTTATCTAAGGGAAAGAACCACTAATCACTACCATTTATTACAGGCTTTATCTCCCTTTCTGGTTAAAAAACAAAAATAATTAATTAGTACTAAATGATTCATTAATAGGTTAATTTTTGGATGTATTGTCATCGAATATGAATAATTATGCTAAATTTCAACTTGATCAGAGAATGTGAAGTGGGAGAAAAAATGTCATAAGGGGATCATCCATATATGCATCCACAACTCCCATTAAGTAGTATTTATTCCCCTTATTTCAATATCAAACAAAATAATTAATCATTAATAATTAATTAACTAATCTTTTAACTTTTTTTTATTGATTCATGTCAGGTTCAGTGATTAATTGTGCTAAGTTTCAACTTGATCTGAGAATGGGAAATGGGGGCAAAAAATATGTTCAAACTTTTTACCAGACAGACAGAGTGAGTTGATATAAGCTTTGTTAAAAAATGGAATTTAAAGCAAAGAGTTTTAAGTGCACTTTTTTAAATACTTTTTTTTTCTAAAAAAACTAAACCATTTTATAATTACATAATAACGACCCAGGATGCACTTTAAAGTTCTGGATTTAAATTCATAATAATATTTGTGTAGAAAATTGTGAAAGCTATTATACGAATTTGCTTGTTTTTAAAAGCAAATGGCAACAGAGATTTTCTTTAACAGATCTACTTTGTAGATCTATCATGAAAAAATATAATTATATTTGTAAGAATTCCTGTATGGACAATACTCAGTTTTACTTTTTTAAAAAACGTATTAAAGAGGTAGCAAATGTTCATTGCAAATTAGTTCAAAATGTACTTAAGAAATTAAAATTTATTCAGATTGATATTCAGCTCTGGCGGAGCATCCCAGTGGAGGCTGAATGGTCCCAACACATGGCAAGATGCAGCTAAACATGTTAGTAAATGTCTTTAATCTTGTAGTCAACAGATTTGTCTATTTTTATGTAACAAAACATGAAGATCACAGATAGGTCTTTGGACTAAAAAATCATGCCTTATATTATTTTCATTTTTAGTTAAATATTATCATGCTGTCCTGTATATAATATATATGCAAAAAAAAAATAATGAACCAAATAATTAGGAATCAATAATAACCAAAATTAATGAGACTTTGCAGTGAATTTAATTTTTTAAAAAAATGAATAATGAATAATATAACAAAAGGTGCAAGAGTCATTTTTAGTACTTTTGAAAATATAATTAGTTAAATATATTGTTTCTCATTATCATCATCTCATCTGACATAGATGTCCTGTGAATCTTCGCGATACCAAATCCCTCCATTTTTCCCAGTCAGCAGCTGTTCTTAGCAGACATCAAGAGAAAGGCCAGTCCATTTTTTATGTTGTCCATCCAGTTTTTCTTTTGATGACTCTTTCTTCCTGCTCCCTTCACCGCACTCGAAGGATGACTTTTGATAGTGAGTCATGTCTTACAATATGACCAGCTCAGCTTTCATCTCTTCACAGTATTGAGGCGTTCTTCCTTTTTGACAGTCAGAGTGTTGAGATGTAAAAATACAAACTCATTTGTCTTCTTTTCCTGGTATCTGATACCCAGCATTTTTCTGTAGCCTTTCCTCTCATATGTTTCTAAGTTCTGTAAATTACCTTAAAAGTAATTTTAATATGGAATTTATATTGTAGAACTAATTTAACATAAAAAATTGATTAATATTAAAATAACTATGGAATTGGGTGAGTAATCTGTCTGGTATATTCCGACTCGGGTATGCTATTCTGCATCAACGTGGTACCCGGTTGGAAACGATTACTTGAGGAACTAATTAGGCTAAATGAATAGCAAAACAAAACTCCTGTGGGAGTGTCCAAGGGAATGCGAGAGCTTTCCCATTGCATGGTGCAGAGCTGAAAGAGAGCTTCCACGTCCCTGTCGATAATCCATGGGGCTGTTACACTAATGATGAGTCTGGCACGGTTAGTTTGGTACAACATAGGAAAATGGCGGAGGTTCCTGGTGTACTCGGCCATGCATTCTAGTCCATGCGCCTGGAGTGCCAGATATATCAGAAATAGCAATGCTTTACATAGGCATTGACTTGGATCTCTTCCAGACAGAACGGTTGTTCAAGCAGGCTTACATACCTAGAGCTTGAAGAGCCTTCGGCTCAGCTCTTTTGACAATCAAATGGTAGATTCAGAAGTTTTATCTGATGTCCCAATTTTAAAAGTAATGTAATGTAATGAGTAGTGACACTGAAGACATTGTTTAAGTAAATTATTAGCCCTATACCTCTTTATGAAGTAAATTTACTTCATTCCTCTAGAAGAAAGCCTGAATAGATTGAACAGACACTTGAATTTAATTTCAATGAGAGATTCCAAATAGTGTTGAACATGAAGTTTGAAACATATTTAGTGAAGGACCCCATTTATTGTCTTCCTTACAGGAAGAAGCAAGAATTTTCTATATGAAAGATTCATTCTTATTTATAACTCCCTTAGTAATTTTATCTCTATAGGAAATTTTTTTGTTTCTCAAAAAGTAAATATTCTGTTTATAAAACTAAAACAACCTTGACTTTGACAATCTGAGGGCAACATATTAGTTAAGTTCTGAAGACTTAGCCATAGTGGAACATTGCATAAATTCTAAAGTTTTGTTCATGTGTTAATTAATTAATGGGATTATGCAAATAACCATTGGTTTGCTATTTTAAATTGTGAGAAATGTTATTAAGATTCCATTGTCAAACAATTTGATTACTTTTGTTTTGCAGGTATAAGTTAAACAAATGCTGAAAAGTTAGTCCTACTCAAACATGAACAATAGAAAAGATAAAAAAATAATCTATACAAGTCTAAAAAAAAAAAAATGTGATTAAATTATGACCTCTTTTTTTTTTTCCAGGTTCGTAAAGTTCCAGTGCCATTTCTATGGAATTTGACAGGTTACTTTGTGATATTTGGATTTCTAGTTATAGTTTCGCTGTTTATGAAATGTTTATGCTGTTGTTAAAGTCAAACTTTTTGTTTTACTAAAATTGAGTTGTAATGGTTGTTTGAAAAATTAATAATTTCTAAAAGTACCTACACCTTATTTACACATAACTAGACAGTATTAAGAGATGAAGCTAGTCATGACATGTTGAACAAGGCAGTCTTGCTGCTCTTTGTGTTAAGTCTTAGCTGTGTATCTTGTTTTATTTGTTAGATTTATTTGTAAACATGAAGCTATTCTAATATAAAATACAAAGGGAAATGTCTTTTCTTTGTAAATATTTTTCACTTTTTATTAAATTTCTATACATTTGGTACATACATTAATACATAAGAAATACATGTCTGTAGTTAAATGCAATTTTACTTGTATGCCTCTGTATAAAATTTGAATATGTGTAAAAATAATCTGATGTTTGTTATAAGGTTTTGTAATTTAAAAAAAAAATAAGTACAAAAGAATTTAAACAAAAAATTATTATTATCAATTCAATAAATAAATGATTATTAACATGTTAAACCATGGTGTAATTTTTAACACTATTAATATTTTTTTTTTACCATGATTTCAGTATTGATTATGTTTTTTTGTATTCTAAAAAAATATAACCGAAAAATTATATAAATAAAACTATGTAATACAATTACATTGTTCAAAATTTGTGGGATACTAGAAATACAAATTTAAAAAATTAAACTCAGTTTTGAGATCTAACTGGTTATAGCAGAAAATTTTAGCAAAGTATTGATAATTCTAGTTAAATGTGTGGCAATGGCTTAAGCTGTTGGCTAACTATCAAGGTGGCTAGAGTTTGAAACCTAACTTGGGAAGAATTGTGTTTGCTGAGCACCTAATGGCAGCATGGAAACCATTCTCACATTTAACCACTGATCTACAAAAGAGAATGGATCATAGTGAGCATGCTATAAGCAATGGTTTGCCTGAAACAGCCAGGAAAACCAACGACTTAGCAGAGTTTGAGTCATTGATTAACATGCATGAGTAGATTGACACATGAAATGCATAGGACATAATAATCTTCTTTTTTGAAGTAACATCTATAATCTATAAGATAAGCATGGAAGATGTGCTATATAAAAACTTTTTTTTTTTAAAAAGATGTTTATTTCAATAAATGCCTTGTAGTGATAATATGAAGGACAAAGTCATTAAATGTACAAATTCAAAGTTTGATTTATTCATACTTTCAATGAATGCAACTAGGCAAAACAATTTTGTCTAGACAAATTTAAGATGCATTTAGATAAATAAGAATACTTGAAACAGCCTATACTGACATGAATATAAATACTATAAATGCATATAGTGAACAAAAGTCTCAAGATTAAGTTCTGTTGGTAGATAAACTTCAAACACAATTTTAATTTCAACAAACATGGTTGGTTTGAAAATATTTTAAAGGAAGATCAAAAATAATTTAGCAGGATGAAGATTTCAGATTTGTAAACCAGTGAGACGAAGGCAGCTAGATTAAGTTTGATATTTACTGAAAAGGGCTGCTGGGAAGGTGTGACTTTAAGCTGTTTCTAATCCAAATGCCTAGCAACAATGATTATAATTTTTTAATATTCTGACTTAGTGACTAAAAAAAAAAAGGCAGTTGTATACATAATAAAGACTGCACATCTAAAGAATTAATTGCACATTGAAAAAAATATTTTTCAACAATATTATAAATATTTGTTAATTTTGAATTATAATAAAATATCAACCAAAACAAAAAACTTTAAAAAAAAAAAATGTTCAAAAACTAGATATATGCCAATAATAATTGTCAGTATAATACATATATCTATGTATAACAGATGATTATACTGAATCAGCCAAAGATATTACATAATTTTTGTTTCATAATGATTATGAAAAAAAGAAATCTCTATTAGACCAATTTGTTAAGAGACTTCAAATGACTGTAAATCAAAGGATCACTTTAACTAGAATGTTATCAAAATAGATTCAGTAAGTAAACTATTAGAACAATGTATATACATATCACATTATACATGAAATACATATTCATTCATTTAACAAATTGCAGTAATGAACACATAAACAAAATAGTTCAATATATCTTTTAAATTTACAATAGCAGTAAGATACTCAAAAAAAACAAGATTCCTTTCTTGAAATAAAAATAAATTCCAGTCATCCCAATTACAAATTAGAACAATAAAATGAACTAGGACATTAATTTTAAAATATGTTTTCACCTGAAACATTACAATAATCTAATGAAAAAAAAGTAGCAATTTTTTATTATTTTAAATGCTAACCTTTGTTTTGGCACCAGCTTTTTTTATTCACATGTATATTACCAATATATTATTTTACGATTTTTATATTTGTGTTTTATTAAAAATGTATTAACACACATATGGTATAGCAATGTTGAAACATATATTTAATAGAAAATCACAATGTTTTTTTTTACTTATTTCAAATTTGTATGAATAAGTCAAAAGTCTTAAATGAATATTCTGTTTAAAAATCTATCCAACTGACAGGCTGAAAAATAAAGTTGAAGCTCAACATTTGTTGTGACCAGCACAACTCTTGTGAAAAATGAGTAAACTTATGGCTATTATTAACTATATTTCTGAACAGAACAATAATTGCGAAAATCTAGGTCAAGAACAAAAATAAATCAACAAAAAACTCAGTATATATTTAAAAAAAACATTAAAGAAACTACATGCATAACACACAATTCCCTTGTCTCTTGAACCACTAATTTCAGACATACAGTAGTGATTTTCCGAACTATCCCTGTCAGGACATCTCATTCTTATACCATTAGGCATGTTGTAATTGGAGTACTTTCAAAACAAAAAGCCAGTTATATTTATATATATTTTACAATTTTAAATGTTTTCCAAAATGACACCCTCTTCAAGATTTGTGTAGGTACTCTGTTCTTTCCACCAGGAGGATATATCAGAGGAGACATTTTTGCCCACCAACGAGGAGTCTGTCGTCAGATTTGGAATAAAGGTTGTGGTACCTGAATCTGAGTTGTTTTCATTCACTAAAGGAAGCTGTTTATTGGCTGCAATATGAACACAATTGTCACATTAAGAGAATTTCACACAGATAAAAAATTTACTCTATCATATGTTGTTTTGGGTTTAATATCATAAGCCTAGTTCTTTTTAATTTATTTTAATAGTTTAATATAAAAATATGATTTTTTAGAGCTCAAAATGACATCTTATAATGTAATAAAATATATTGCTTTTGGTGTTTGAATGTAAAAAGAAATTATTTAAAATACAATAAAAAGTAGCATAGAAAGAGTTAATGATGTTGAGCTAATGGTAAAACTTTAGCCTGTCAATAGTTGTAGGGCTAGAATCAACAAACAAAATACGCTGGGCTAAGAATGTCACAAATGGAAGAGTAGTAGTATGTTAATTAGGCTGGGCTAAGAATGTCACAAATGGGAAAGTAGTAGTATGCTAAGTGCGAAGTAAAAGGCAATGGTGAAACATTTAAGAATGTCTGGAGTTAAAAGGAAAATGTGTAATGATAATAACATACAAGAATTGGAAGCTTTACAACTGCGCCTTCTTAGACTTGTTCTATCTTTCTCTGACCTAGTCCCTCCTTCATTTAATGGAGGTGTTAAAAATTTTCTGCTCGAACCAGCCTATATGGAGAAAAAAAATATAAAGAAACAATTACTCACTAATTGGTAAAATTGAAGAATTCATTTTGTATATACATATGCTATTAGTCTTCAACAGAATGACATAACATAGTGCAAGTAACATTAAAAAAAAGATTTAAAAACTTATTAAAAATGCAATTCTTTATTTTAGTTTAAAAAGAAACTATGTGGTAACAATCAGATATAGTGCATAACCTGTGACAAACTAGGAGGCTGAATGACAGGAGTACGAAGCTCCACATGGCCTTTCTTACGAGTACGTGGTGGTGCCTGACCATCCTCTTTGTTCTCCTCTTTATTGTCAGGGTTCATGAGAGACAACTCCGTTACAGTAAACATTGGTTCATTTGTAGCCCTTAGATTGGAAATAATGTTGGAATGCTCCCTCTGAAATAAATGCAATCGTTAAAAATATGTTCTTAAATACTAATTAATTAATATTAAAATACAGTTGCACTTCAATTGTAACTTACTTCCTTAGTTTACATTTTGCCACAAGAGTCACAATGGATACAAAATCTCTGCTTGATAATGAGCAGTGTTATGATATAAAGCAGGTGGGTTTAACCTTACAGATGAACAAATCTCAGACAATACCTAAATTGCTCTAATTTATTGCAAGAGGATGAGCTGCACATAGCAACATTTTAACGCTTTTGTCATTCTTAAACATTTTCTTTGTTGAAGTGTTAAGGATTATGAGCCCAATCCATGAGAAAATTTACTTTCACATTTGTCTGAAAGTAAGTTTACAAAAATATAATTACCAACAAAATGAAGCCCTATTTGTAGAAATTTCTACATCAGAAGATACTGGGGCCACATGCCACACATAAAATGGGGTCTTAGGTAAAGAAAAATACTCAAATTAAGTAGGAAATCAATGATACCTCCCAGAGTCCACTATGTTGTGCAATAATTATGGAAGCACATTTTATTATTTCTATTCAAACTCTTAAATACCAATTTAAAATATAAACTCTTTAAGATAATACATGAATATAACCCAATACAGTAGTGTGGGGCTATTAAGCACAATATAAAAAATGGCTAAGTACCGTATCATAAAAGTTGCTAAGTAAATGATTCATTGACTACAATGCTGTAAATCTAACAAGGTATACAATGTTCTAGAACGTACAGCTCTGATTCTCTTCAGGCATTTGTCCAACCAATTTTTGATAGTTTGTTTTGCGACTTCCTCCTCTATGGTGAACTCCAGCTCCTCCCTAGCCAGAGACTCTTCTAGCTGCAGAGATTTTCGGATGTCTACAGAACGATAGGACAGCATGCTAGAGAAAGATGAAAACATTTTTTAAAGAGTTAGTGAAATTGTTATGAATTGTCATCAGTTGAAGTGTTTGTGGATGAAAAAAAGAAAAATGAAAAAGGAAATTATTGCATTTTTTAAAATTATGTCAAAATTGTAATGCCAAAAAAACAAAATTTGGATCAACAGAAATTCTGATATAGAAAGAATGTACCTGAGAACATCATGGAAAGTGACTTCCCCTCCCTGATGCAGTTTTTCAATCTCATAACACATATGTTTGAACAAGAGCCTGTCCCTTTCAAGGTCTACTTCTAATCTTCCTCGAAGGAGTCGCAGAAGGAAACGCACTCTTCTTGCAGGGATCATGCCCTGGAAATTGAAGATTAACATTTTATTATTGCTATTATTGTAACGTCAGTTTCCACTAAGTTACTTCATGACAATCTTGTAAGAAAACTTTTAAATCCTTTATCTCAGAAGGCGATCACTATGTCAGTTGTAGATTCGACACGCTAATTAAGTTAAAATTTAATGCTCATAAAGTTTATCTAGGGTATTTTGCAAATGGCAATAAAAGAAATTAAATAACATTAAAGAAATTAAATAACATTAAAGAAATTAAATATGCCAACAGCAAAGTATTTGCTAACATTATATGTTTTAGTATACTCTTAAAGGTTCCATTAGGTTGTTATTGGCAGAAGTGGTAATGAACATAAGCACTCCACAACCTATAAAATGTTGCCAATGACAGGCATCTCAAATAGCCTCCGACAACCAGACCAACTCCTGGCATTCAGGCTTTAGGTACATAAAGATGGGGGAACTGCTGTTTGAGGAACAATGTTCTGACCATAGTTAATGCCCAGGTATTTATTTAATTTCTATGAGACTAACCATATCTACTCCATGACTTATAAAGGCCAAAAATACTCTAAAAAAAAAAAGACTTACTTTTCTGTTGATATCAACTAAATTCCAAGTATTCTGAAACTGTCTGATATCATTGTAACTCAAGAGAGCATCTTCTTCATTAGAATAGAACAAGGAGAAGTTTTCCATGATGATGGCTGAAAACACACACACATTTTTAATAAACCAATTATAAACAATCAATAATTACTAAACAAAGCTAACTTCATTCTAAATAACATAAATGAAAATTGAATTTTTTTTTTTTTTTACAGACATACATTAAATAATACATCTACAATAAATATCTTTGATGTTTGAATATTGAAGAGAAAAACTATAAATTTGTTCTTAAAAACA